TGATAGAGACATTACCTCAACCCTAACAGTCCTCAGTCCTCCGACTAATAATGCAGTTAACGTGGTCTTTATTTGGCCCTGTGGATCACAGACGGTTGCTTTCAGTGTGACTTACCAGCCGGCCGACTCCTCCCCGACAGACGAAAGCCAAGGCCAGCAAGCTCACGTGGATGAGCTCATCCCACTCTGCAAGTGTAATTCCCACAGACACGCCGTGCAGGGGGAGCTGATGGCTCGCAAAGCAGGCATCTATACATTGCTGTTTGACAACAGCTTCTCAAGGTAAGACACCTGCTGTCCTCTTAATGTTTGGTACAGCCCATATTTAAGGGCGGATATTGATGTCGGAAGTTGACAAACTAGTCTGTCAACTTCTGATACCTTGGGGAGCCAACATCAACTATCCACCTCAGATGATTCCTGAAACATTTGTTTCACCACACTTCATACATGTTAAGTTGCAGGCATCATTTAAAAAAACTTTGATCAACAGTCGCGTGCTGCAAACTTTTCATTTAGAGATAGGGCAGTGCTTGTATGTGTGCACTTCAACCCAGCGACAGTTTCACGATAGCTTCATAAAGTACACATAAAGCTCTAGATTAGCCGAGAAACAATTTACTTCTCTTGCTCAGTGGCACTGCGTCCCCATGCATGTATCAATAGGAACTGACATGTGATAGTGAATGGACCAATTAGAATAAGCCTTTTTTGAGTTAGATTTGAATAAAATCCGGTATGAGTTCTTTACATTCACATGAACATTAGACAGTTTGAATTCTCCATACTAGAGACACTGTTGTTATACCTCTGGGTACATTAGAGACAAACCTTGCACCAATACACTGTTTTCGATGGATGAGAAGGGCACAGAGGAACCAGTCCATTCCAGAGTTGGTGGTCGCTATGCAAAAGCTTGCCCCTAATCGCAATGTATAGCAACTGTGTATTTGGTCTGGGGAATTGAAATTATGTTTATGCGCAAACAGATAACTCAGTGTACCAGATTTTATTTAAATTTAACTCGCAAAAGGCTTATTCAGCTCCTGCTCGTGAATTTGAATGAGTTATTGTAATTCTACATGCAGAAGTGATCGGCAGCTTTGTGAAGTAATGTTAAAAAGACTTATGCCCCAGAGACTTTAATTCCTGATCATAGGATTGAGGGCCTGAATCCAACAGCTGATTAGAGATTGTTAACTTAGGCACCACACTTCACCCCAACTTGCCTCCCTCCACCTAGTACCTGTGAGGGCGGAGATGGTGATTACATTCGATGAGCTCTTGGCACCTGGACAGTTAGCTTAAACTGTCTGCGCCAGACGGAGCGCAGGTGGTTGGAGGAATGTCAATGGACCAAGTGAACTAGAGTAACAGTAATAAAGCACCTTCAGCAGCCGCAGGGATGGATGTGTGTGACATCCGTAATATAACGTTGTCTATTAGAAATGCCAGTCACAATTCTTTCGACAGTGCTCTCTGAAAAATGTTTGCCAACCACATCAAAATACAGGAGCTGGTCTGGCACAGATTAGGACTGCATGGAATAAGGATCAATTTGCCAAAAAAATGCATGCAAGAAACAGCAAAAAGTACCCAGTAGACATTAGTGTTACCATTTTGTCTGAGTTAATGAAACCAAGAACTCTTCCAAATTTACATTCGCATGTGCAGATTTACCCAGAAGTCTGTGAAGTATAGCCTGCAGGTCAAACGGCCGGAGGCGGCATACTGACCGTCTCGTGAGCTGGCTAGGCATGGAGTTACAAGCAACGAGACGTATGCTATGAACAGTCAGTGAGTTTGCCAGTGAACAGTGCTCTCGTCCTGGCCTGAATCTTAATGGCAGCAATATCTCCCCAGGGCCATGTTTCTGCAAAGCATGGCTTCCTTTGGTGGGAAAAAATAACAGCAGATGGAATAGCCAGTAGAGGCAGCTTACTGCATGGAGGTGACCTAGTGGCAAGACCAGGGTTGTTCAAGTTGCCATTCACCTCCCAAAGAGTCATCTGCCAAGGACGGACATCAGGTAGTGGAATTGTCACGCTCTGCCAGGATAGGAGCTAAAACTGGCGGAAATCTCCGCCTGCGCTGATTCACAAAAATACAGTAACAGTGTAACACCCAACCCCATTGTCAAACTGGGATCCGCAGTAATACTGGATTTCAGGAGAGACAAGTTTTCCAACCAGCCAGAGGTGATCAAAGGCTGCCTTGGCCAGTGATTGACCTGCTTGGGCAGTCACCAATTGTAGGCCGACGTGGCCAGAACCAGGCAGAAATTATGCCTACAATTATATTTTGGCATTTTCATAGGTATTTATACAAACTGATTTTTTTCCAGTATATTGGGCTGTTTTAGAAACCTCAAGGTTTGTACTTTACTTAGACTAAGTGTACAGGAAGGCTTGGACAAATTCAAATTTGAAGAGCTCAGCAATCCAAATGAAATTTGGTATGTTACATGTAATTGCAACAAAAGTAATTAAATTACTTGTGAAATATCGATGGGTGCCGTTGTGGGAATGGAGGAACAGCTGGTTAACCCCTTCGCTACGGAGGACTGATACTACCGCACTTTGGTGTGAGGATTGGTGCATACCACACATACAGTCTATTCACCATGCAGCTGCTGGTTCAATGGGGCCTGCTGCTGGACAAAGCCCTCCATTCAGGGCATACCACAGCCCGGCAGTCGCAGTCAAAATAATCCCGGTCAAAATAATCCCGCCGTGAAGGGGTTAAAGACAGTAGTTGTGAGTGCAGTCAACAAATATTTGGACATGTCAACTCTGGTTTATGTGAATGTCAAAGAATTGCTTCTCTTTGTTCATGGAGTTCAATCGTGATGTAACCTGTTTATATACTAAAGCATATGTAAAGATGGCAATATTGAAGGCTTTGCAAGTCGCTGATACATGTCGTATATGTAAAATGAAAGGAACTGGTTCAGGAGGGAAACTTACTTTTTAGAGAGGAAATTAAACTGCATTTGTAAACGTAAACATGTACGGTGTTTGGATAATTTCATCAGACTACCAAACCATTGCAGCCAGCTTGGTATCGACCAAGTTTGATATACCAAACTGCATCAAAGCGGCTAACAGGTTGGACAGCGTGGACTGTGTAGAGGGTTTGCATGAGATAGCAACTGATTGTACATGTACATTGTAGGCTGATGTCATAATGGCAAGGCACAACAGCAACTTAACCAGCTTCACAGGAGGGCATGTGAACATGACCAGACTTTCTATATTGGCAGGGAGAGCTGACATGTTAAGCCACCAAGTATTCTGGAGTCTCTGCCAGCGGATGCGTATACATGTCTCATGCCCATGAATTTTGTACACAAATAAAATGTTGGAGAGTGTTCTGAGGCTTGACCATATGTTGACATTGAACCCTAAAAAGGCATCAAAGCAAACCTTCTCTAGCCGTATCTGGAGTATCTGAGTTATCATATCTTACCTTTACAAAAAAGTTTGTCGTTTTCAAAGGTTGACAATTGAAATTCAGGTATGACTGTTATACATTCAGAATAACACTGCCATTTCTTCTTTCCACCCAGGCTCATGACACTTTTCATTCAATCTGAAAAGAGTTGGGTGCACTGTGGACACCGTGGTGGCATGCGACATCTTTTTGATACTGTAGTTTGGGTAATAATTCACAATGTTGAAGTTTTGAGTCTATCCCCAACAGTCTGATGCCTTGCAACAGACACAAAGGATTTTTGTACAATTGAAACGTGTATGCAAACACTGATGGATGTGCCGTAATCTACATGCACATATACCTCATTATGTACTGGACTGACATTTCATCGGATGTCTGAAGAAAAACGTTCAGGAAACTATTTAAGAGGAGCTAGGGTTACCAAGGTGTTGGCAACTCTGCCGATCTCCTTACTTCCTAGTTTGGTCTTGCATTTCTCTTCTTGAACAGTATTTGTACTTAATTATAAACTAAATCATGCAGAAGAATTATTAGTTACCCTTGAGTGTGAGTAGAACATGGAATTGTTTGCATCTGTATCCTTCCTTGTTCAATTCCCTTCCATGAGTTGATGACGAATTTATCTTCAAGTAAACTTGATGTACATAAAAGTGGAGCACGCATGCTGCACAGAAACTAGATGTTATTAAGACGGTCCAACTAGTATTGGAATTTTCAAAATTTTATAATTCAAGTGAACATTCTTCAACTCGACTCAAAGCATTGGATCATGAATCAGGGAAATGTACATGTATCAGGTGGGTGTCTTAACGTAGTAATCCACATTAGACACAGATGTGTTACGTTAATTTACCGCCCCGCACATGCTGCATTTTGAGTTCTAGCCCTAACCCTCCAGGCTAGAACCCTGCCAGACACATCGGTCTGCATCATTTGCCAAAGTGGCTCGCCTGCCCAGTGTAACAAGATCCAACAGGTCAACTCTCTTCAAGGCCACAAGGCCTGGCAGTCTGTGGTTGCCAGTCACCACAAGATCCAACAGTGGCATTGTTCAATGGGACTAGCTCCCAATGTCTCAACATGGCCAGTTCGTTTGGCTGCTGTTGGATTGCCCAGTGCAACAAAGTGCACCAGACTTTGACACCTGTTGCACTATGCTGCCTCTGGCAGGGTTAAGAATAAACTTAGAATAGCACCAGGTCTGGAATTTAATGCAGTACACAGGTGCGATGTGGACTGTGTGGTATAGTTTAATACCGTGCTGTTGTTGCCAAGCATCAATCAATAAGGAACCAGAATAGAAGTTCGCTTGGAGGCTCTAAAACAAATTGTAGGTTTGGGGTAAGCCACTTCACTTGGTACACTGAAGAGTCAAATTCACTGAAAGTAAGAACTTGTAATAAAATCTCAATTGTGCCTCATGCCCTCTGACCTCAGCAATTGATGCTGCATTTCCATCAAATGTTTAGATAGCAGGTGTTGGTAAAGAACATTGTGTTGTTAAAAGTAACGTTTAACCTGAGAGCAATATAAATTTGGGCAGTCTTGAAGACAGTTCCAGCCTATTTTGTAAATATATTAAAGAAAGTCCAGACTTTATTCTGCAGAAGTCTTTAAACATTACTGAACTGTAGCTCCTAGTAACATGCACAGTGTGAAATATGATTTGCTTGATGTTTGTCTAGTGATAAACAAAATGAATTCTGAGGGGCATTTTTTTTAATAGTTAGTTTTTTGCTAGCATAAAGGGGCAACGTACATGTACATGCCCTGTACTTCAGCCTATGTGTAGTTTAATTTAACAGTCAGTGTTACAGGCTGATGCACATCTTTATGGAGATTTTTGGATGGCATTTGAGCATGAAATGTTAATCAGGAATGCCCTGCCTCAAGATGTAACAAACGTAACACTAAAAGATTTGACAAGTGGGACAAGTTTTGACATGTAACAAGTTTTCTGTGATGAACTTTGTTTCTGATTCCTGTCATTCGTGTCACAAATGTACATGTACCCGACAGTTATTGAGGCACGAGAAATGACTACATGTACATGTATTTACAGTTATCGGAGATAGAAGTAAACATTAGAAAGTTGAGTTTTCTAACTGCTCTGCATTGAAAGCGGATTTTATCTCTCCCTTTTCTACAAATTTCTTCAAAGTATTTGTGGTGGCATTTTGGAATTTTTTACAATAGCTTTTGGAAAGAGTCCTCATACTTTCAATATGTACAGGAAGGTTGTTTGTCGTTTTAATTTAATATTCAGGAATTATGGTAGAACTGTATTTCTTCATGTCATTCAGAATTCAAAAAATAATCTCGTCATGAATTGAATACCAGCGTTGCATGTATTGTTGGCACCTATATACAGAAGGAGTCTCAAATTAAAGTTATCAAAAATATCTTGTTTTCTGTTTCTTAATGTCTGATCATTGCTCTAATAATATGACATTTTACGAACAATATTCACATTTTGTAATTTCATTACAGGTATTAGATCATTAAAAATCAAAGTGTCGTAGTACTTTTGAAAATAATGGCATTAATCCACACAAAGCTTGATTAGTTTAGCAACTGGGGGAGTCAGGTCAGTGCAGTGGCTCTCTCCTCGCCTTCCACCTCTGCAACCCCGGTTTGAATCCCACCTAGGTCAACATGTGGACTGGGTTTTCAGTCCCTGCCTGATTCCCTGGGTTTTCCCTGGAATATTTACCCAGGGTTTTCCTACCACTTGTAAAACTGACAATTTCTTTTATTGTCATCTTAACGTCATTTCAGCCTGTAATTGGCACTAAATGTAATGAACAGGTAAAAATGAAAGAAATAAGAATTTCCTGCATCTACATGAAGCTATTGGGATCACAAAGCAGCCCAGGTTTAAGGAGATTTTCATTTTTCTGCACATGATTCCAAAATGAACAGGCAGGCCTTCTGAAAGCATCTGTAATAAGTTTTGTTTTATCAACAAACACAAGCGATCAGTACAAAGGCACAAGCTAAAGGTTCTGCAGTGTCAGCCTCATCTACTCTTATGTAACAAATCTAGTCTTGCATCATCCTGTTTCATCTTTCTCAGATGGCAAATGTTCAGAAACAGTGAACCAAGTTTTGGCTGTGTATTAATTTCTACGACCGCACACAGCCTCCCAATGGACAATCATGTAGAAACAGGCCCATTCTAGGTTCTTGAAGCACAGGGCAGCATGAACGTTTGGCAGAAAGTGGCCGCCCGGCGGAGGGTGAGGAGGTGGTCAAGAAAGCCCCATGGCTTTGTCCAGAAAAGCCGAGAACTTGGAGGTGTCACCAGGAGGGAACGGTTTCAGTATGGAAGTGTCCAGTTGGCTGAGAACTCCTGGTAGATTGCTATTGTATAAACGAAGACACAGGAAAAAAATAAATTGGCATGTATTTAACACAGCCAAACAAAATGGCAAATCTGATATAACTGATTGAGGGAGGCGGGAAATCTGACATGTGGGCACTGAAGGTAACGTGCAAAAGCTAAGGCCTTTGCCAGTACATGTACATGTAGTCTGAAACATGACGTGGCATTATTTGAGTATGCCGGTGGACAGTTCCCAGTTCATAATTGGTCATTATAACTATAATCACTATAATTACTTATGGTGGCAGGAACCAGGCAGTTGGCCAAGATTTTCTTTTGTTCAGAGGTGAGAAGGCTCTTGTAGGTGGAGGCCATAGTCTCCTATTGTACATGCCCTAGTCCTGGGCTCTAGTTCTTTCATACTCTCTCAAGGCATCATCAGCGTTAACAAGACGTACACACATAAACTGTCAGCAGAAGTTTGAAGTTAATTTCTTTGCATCAGAATTTCAAGTTGAAAAACTGTCGTGAGTGTGCCTTCCCAAAAACTAATTTTTCAAAATGCAAGAAATGCCTAAGGCGTGAACATTCTCATACCTGCATTTTGCGTATAGGAGATGCCCATCTAAATAAAGCTGATAAGCCAATTCCATCTGGTGATTACCCATCAGTAGTTGATTGATGACAACAATTAAAGGTTTACCAGCGCCTAGGGATTCCAGGACACTACCAGCACCTGCAGCAGATGACAAGACAACAGTCTGAAAGTCATGTAATCAGCACTGACGATGAAAAAGCACCATTTTGTTTTTGCCTTTTAGAAACTTAATTCGATAGATGATTTGGGGGCTGTAACATTTCGCTTTACTCCCTCGAGCATGTATCTCCTCCAGGCAAGATCAACAGAGGGCGTGATTTTACATAGCAGTGACTGTCCTCTGGTGAAAGATCACCATGTGCGCACACAGGTTCGCGTGCGTTTGCCGTGGGAGGCGCTGAGGATGCCACCAATTTCTGTTTGAATGTACAATCTGTGCGAGTGTGCTGGGTGCTTGCCCAAGGCTGATAACTTGCCACCAAGCTGTTTGCCCTTTGTTGGTAAGGATGTACTTCAACTCAGGGTAGATAAAGCCCAAAATTTAACCTCATTCTCAAATCCGCCAAAAATTTGACCAACTTGAAAAGGTTGCACCCAACCTCATAAAGTGCACGGCAATACGACACAATATAATATGACTTTGAACCCCAACTCCATTAAAACAGATAAGGTTGAACCTCCTCCTCCTTTTCACTTTCAGCCCCTCCCCTGACCAAAAAGACCTCAGTGCACCAGTGCACAGTGAGTTCATGTAAGTCTACGTATATCCTTCAGAATGCATAGTGTACGTGTGGATTGAAATGTATTTATTTGAAATGCTAAAACAGACTTGATAGGGTGAAAAAACAGAGTTCAACTTTGAGTAATTCTCAGGATGTTGCTTTTTTATTTTGGTTTGTGGTTAATTGGTTCCTAGGTGATAAAGACATACATGTAGGATGCCTTTGTGTGTGTGTGGAAGAGTGTCGAGGTTAAGTAAGATTTTTTATTTAGTCATTTTACAAGGGGGGAGGGTTATCATCCTTGCAACCTCAGGAGTGAATCACCAGAACCTGGCTACAATGGAAATAATCGAAAGCGCTTTGATCAAAGTTGAAGGCGCTATGTAACAGACCTGTTACTATTGTTATGTAATCAAGCTGAACACACACACGTGTACACACACCCAAGCAGACAGGGAGAGATCAAACATGGCTGGTTTCTATGGATAGAGGAAAATCAGAGTACCCAAGGAAAAATCCTCATGGCCTGGGCCAGGAATCCAACCCATGCCACAGTGATAACGGGTAAGTGCTCAATGTATTCGCCTCCTGTACCAAATGAGAAAGTACTCCATTTCTCCTTCACACACCATTCTTCCGGAAGGTAAATTTTGCATGGAAAATATCCCCTTCCACCATCCATGTGCACATACCTGCATGGCTGATGATCAGAGAGGCCTTCCTGATGTCTTCTGCGATGGAGTCTTTGTAGCGATAGTATTCCAGCCTAAATCCTCGCTTGGATATCGGCTCAGGCTCGTAGACACCTCTCCCGATCTGTAGCAACACCTTGGAATAGCCCAGTGCTTCAAATTGCTGCAGTCCGTAAAATCGAAAACACGTGCACACTAACATGGGTTACAAATGAAAGCTACATTGGCTGACTATGGTACATGCATTGAATCAACGGGAAATCTGATCAGAACAAATTAACTGGAATGCCAAACGGTTCCTCAGTGACCTCTTTGCTTCAGTATTTCTGTTACTGCTGGATAATAGTATCCCACCAATCACTATACAAGTACATTGAGGGTGGAAATTTGAAAAACGTTTCGGAAACTTTCCCAAACCATTTAAACAATTTGCAATCACTTTACTGAGGCTGCTGCCTACCTGGGTGTTTTCATATGTATATAATTACAAGTGCATGTAAATAAATCAACAATGCAAGGTAAACTGATGTTGGGGTATTTAAAACAAGCAGTATTCATTGTTTTGAATCCACTTTTTCTCAAAAAGTCCATTAATGCCAAAAGGGAAAAGTGTTCCGAAAAATCAGATTACCTTTACAGGCCTCGTTTACAATAAAATGAACGCCAGACTGCGTCAGTCAAAACTTCAAACCTCTAAAAGGGGCAGTTCCGTTTCTAAAAGCGTTTGGGAAAATGCTGTAAACGGATTTTGACCCTAACGTACATGTACAAGGATTACTTTGAAACTTGGATCTTTACAAGGTGTGTGTTAACGTAACAAACTCCAACATTTTAGTTCAAAACAATGGTGCTGTCAATAACCACAACCCCCCAAAAAGACCAATTCAAACTTGTTTCCATTGCTTACAATAGTACAGCATCTATTTTTCTAAATCTGATTACATGTAAGCCATGAGTTTTACCATTGAGTGAGTTCACACTATTTTCTTCTATGAAGGGGAAAATAATACATGGTTTTACAGGCAGTTTTGAAACAAGAGTCCACAACCATATTTGTTGTATGCTCTGCAGAAAATTATATTCTCAACTTTTACAAAATCATGATCATGTACCTGGCAGAGTTGCTGAGAAGACACCACCTGGATCAGAGCATCAAAGCTGGTTGTTCCAACTGTCACAAACACCGTTTTCTTGGGCTTCATTTTGATAGTTCAGGAAGAGCTGAAAATGTAGTAGTGAAAGCCATACATGAGTCAATTTTACAGCAAACCAAGAAATTACACCTGCTGTGTCTGCTGAAGGTCTGGTGACACAGACTTTACAGAAAATGAGAAAAGGATGTGATGTTCACGAATGTGAGAATCGATTCAAATCCAAATGAAAGCTGAGCTATGATTGGTTATTGGAATGGAAGCAAATTGGACCAATCACAGTGCGGTTTTCATCTGTGGGTGACAGGAAAACAAAAGGAAAGGACAGGAGCAGTGTTGCAATTGGTCAAGCTATTTACACAGCTGACAGCTACTGAGAGTACATGCTGCTGATTTTCTGTAGCTGGATGGTCAAAATGCTCAAGAATTTCACCATTTTAATGAGGACATGAGGTGAAGAAACCTCCCCATTTGACATCTAATATCTCTAACTCCAAGAAGGCATGTATGAACTTTGGCTGCACAAATAACTGTAAGTGTAATGGACGGGTGGGTTGGCACAATCAAAACAACCAAAATGTGTTAATGCAGTGGGAGTTTGTAAATGGGGTTTGTATAAACCTTACAGTTCTGGAAGTACACCACCGGCATCACAATCTAACCTGAGATGAAGCCCATACTGAGCTTGATGGATGAATGCAAAATTATCCCCCCCCCCAACGTGACAAGAAATCTTCATCCAAGACACGATGTAGGCCCTTACCAGCTACATATATACTGTTTGTCATGTTCGTGGAAGTGGGGGTAGCCCAGGTGGACTCCCTGACCATTCTGTGTTACGGACTCGTAATGCAATGAAGACAACGCCTAACCCGGGCTAGAACTTAAGTGGGGGTAACTTTAACTGCAAGCAAACTATAGGCTGTGCACTGTCATGACTGTAGGCCTGTGTACAGTACAGTATCTTCTATTCTGTTACACAGAAGTGCTGTCATTGTACGTACAGTCCTTAATTATGAAAACAGCATGTTGATATTTAGTTAAAAACTAAGTTTTACAAACTCACCTGAACTAATGTACCTCCAGGCTTCTCAAGCACCTCCCCCGTGCAGGTACTGACTACTAGGGTAAGTACACATGTACTTCTGTTCTGAAGAGGTTCTGAGTATTCTACAATGTATTTCCCATATTCCCACCTGACTATGGAGGGCGCCATCCATGCGTTAACATAGAACAAAACAAACACCCACGTGGCAGGCCGTGTCCGAAATGGGCTTCCAGAGCTACGGCTAGGTCTATTGTCTACGCGTCTCCACCCATTTCCAATGGAGTGAAGACCTAGACCTAGCTCTAGACAAGAAATTCGGATGCAGCCTAGGCTAGGCGTTTTATTGCTGTGGTCTTGGACCGCGTAGTCTTGGTTTCAAGACGTTAGTGCTTGATAGGGGACACCGTGCATAGTGCGCCCCCTAACGACTCATAATGGTCGAGGTCGGGCGGTCCGTTCTTGACACGGGTTTCGTGTTCTCACACTCGAACTGCGGGAACACAACCCAAGAATGTTCTCGGAACAGGATCACATACCACCTCCTCGTCAGGATTTCACACGAACACACGGAAAAACTCGTGAGATTTGATGTTTGAACAGCCGCAAAATGTACCGATATGGCTTTAAAAAGCCGAAGACAATGGAAAGTTTTGCAAAATTAAAATCAATAATTTCCCATGACAGAAATGAATTTTTTAAATGGAAAAGAAGTAAGCCCAGCTATCCAACATTAACTCTCGAAGAATGCACAAGGACGCTGCCATGTTGCATGTTGCTTGCCACGTCTAGACTACTAGCGCTAATAACCGGTTGTACATTCCCGGCGTTCGAACGTGTTCGAGCGCCCGACCCACGAACAACGAATCGAGCTGTTCGTGAACAAATGAGAACAAGCCGCCCGACCTCGGTCATTGATTAGACTGTGCGCCAGCTCGCACTTTGTGCGAGGGCGCTCTTCAACAGAAATAAAACAACTATCGATCACTGACGTCTTGGGCCAAGACTAGGGCCGGGGCTACAATTTTTCGTATGGGGAAATGATGTTATTCCTAGTCTGGAGAGGAAGCTCTCGTGGAAGCTTCCCCTGTTGAAATATCGGACTTTTTTTCCTTCATCCAGAGCCACAATTATATTTAAATAGCCTTTATTGATGTCGAGTGTCCCGAGTGTGCTGTGTAAAAACCAATTCGCGGGCAGGAACTTGTTAAATGTGTGTTGAGATAAGTGGTCACAGCCGCCATTCAGGACGGCACTACGCTAGCTGAAGCCCCTTTGTTTGAAAACAGTGTATCCTACAATCAAAGTTCGGGGCCAATTGCATGCTAGCCGACATCACTGGTCGGGGTTTCTCAAACGAAAATCAAGTGCTTTTGTTTGGCCTCTTAATTTCTTTTTAATTATTCTTATTGCCAATTCCATTTACACCAAAAGAAACTCAATTCGCAATAAAGTGCATTTGTGGACTCAACATGTAACACAAGCTTTTTCGGCTGTCATATATTTGGATCTTTTTCAAATTTTGTTATTACCAAGTTCACAAGCTCCCTGCAGATGACATATAACTTATCCCGACTCTGATGAATAATTATACAATGCATACCTGTCATCTGATTGGTGGATCGTTGGTCACGTGTCATTGAATTATTCGTTCTATTCAACTTGACTGCTTCCTGCCCCGTTTCCATATCTCATTCCCAGTAAGAAAGAGGAAAATCATGAAGGGACGGAAACAAAACTAACATTGCACGGTACTACCTACATATACAGACCACGTTTTTATGTGTAATGTGCTAAAGCCTATACTAACATTGCGGGCACAAATTTTGACAAAATGACGGACGTTAATGCGGGGGGCGGGAACTAGGCCTATTGGTGTAGGTATTGTGTGAAACAAATAACTGTTGGTCAAAGAGTAACTGTTGGCTGGTGTTTAGTTGATGTTGGTCGAATGTAGGACTAACTGTTGGTTACGGATTATTAGGGCGGGAAGTAGACCAATTTGTTCTATATCTGGTTAATTCATATCATTTACCATATCATGCCAGGAGTTGCCAAAGATTTCCTTCTAAATATAAATTCATTTAAAGATACGAGTTAATTCAAAATATATCCTTACCAAACGCAGTCATATTAAACACATATCACTTTATTTGTCCTTACGTGTGTTCAACCAGATTTGTTTTGACTCACCCATCCTTAAACTTCTACCAAATTAAAATTGGCATCCGTGAAGCATTGGTTAACTTCCCTTTGGCTTTAGACTCCTAGGTCGAGTTCGAGCAGCTTGTTCTTGACACGGTTTTCTTGTTCTCGCGCTCGAACGGAGGGAACACGACTCAAGAGCACTGTTCTCGGAACAGGATCACACACCACCTCGTCAGGGTTTTACAGGAACACACGGAAAAACTCGTGAGATTTTGATTTTTGAACAGCTGCAAAAAGTAGAGAGATGGCTTTAAAGCCAAAGACAAAGGGAAGTTTTGCAAAATTAACATTAATTATTTTCCGTAACACAGAAACGAATGTTTCCGTTTATATAGAAAAGAATTCAGCCCATTCAAACATCAACTCTCGAATAACGTAGCCTACATGGACGCCACCATGTTGCTTGTCACTAACTACCATCGAAAACCGATTGTTTGTTCCCGGCGTTCGAGCGGCCGACCCACGAACAACAAATCGAGCTGTTCGTGAACATACGGGAACAAGCCGCCCGAACTCGGCCCTAGGTTCTACGGGTATCCTCTGTCAAGCATTCAACAAACAGTTTCAATAAGGTTTGATATGCTGTTATACAGTGTGACATAACACAGAGCCTTGGGAATCTTGGGCGGGGCTTACTTTTGGAGGGATACCAGGAGCTAGGTTTGACACAAAATATTTTTTTTCGCGGGATGGGGTATGGTGGCACCAGTTTCGAACTGAGATTCCGTTGGACATAAAAACAAGGACAACTGTCTAATAAAAACAACTGTCCAACAAGTATTTGGACATTGTCGCCTGACAATAGGTGTGTCCTTTAATTTGAACTTTCAATTAAATCGTGACTCAATACGTAAAAATCACCGCTCAGTCCCTCAACAGTTGAATTACTAACGGAAAACCCCAGCAGCCAATTTCACGAAACTTTACGCAGTGTGGCATAACTCCACTTACGCCACATTTTATTGCGTAAGTTGCGCAACAAATGAAGACCAATTTCACGAAACTTACGCAACCAAATAATTATGGCGTAACTTACGCAGTCATTTTAGTTGGCTTAATTTAGTTGCAACAAACGAAGCGAAAATGAACTATTTGACTTGCTTATGGGGTACGGTTAAGCCTCATGATTAAAACGCAGCTACGCAGCTTTTCGTGAAATCGAACGTTAGCATATTGCGCAGCTATGGCATAAATTCGTGGCGCAAGGCTTACACATGGTTCAAATTACGCCAAATTTCGTGAAATCGGCTGCAGCAGGCCTTTAATCTGCATCGGGAATATTCCCTTTAGGCCTAATGGAGTCCGATCACCAGTTTTTGAGGGGAGTTGAGTCCACGGTGCACTGCGGCCAAAAATGCCCGGCTGACTTCGCTATTCTAGGTGGTGCTGGTGGAGCTGACCGCGCCTACTAAAGTGTGGTATGTCGTCACCCGCTCGGATGGCAGCGCCCTCAGCGGCAGCCTTTAACTCCAAGGGATCATGAACAATTTCGTCAGCGAAGTCAACGTCATCTTCCATGCCGTTGGCTGTCGGGGAAAAAGAAAGAAAACATTGTCACACGAAATCATGTCAAGCACGATAAGTTTTTTTTAGTGCACGTGTTGAATTTCCCAATTGAATAGGCCTATAAAATTACCCAAGGAGAATTTTGCAGCCTGTTCTAAGTGGCTTCACACAAAGATTTTGCATAATGGTAATTACAATGTATTGTCCAAAGGCCTTCTCAATCTGCAGGGTTTGAAGATAGACAGCAAACTAACAGCACCAGACATACTGCATTTTCTTTTAGTTTGACCAAAGATACCAAGTACTTCAGAAGAGGTACTACTTTTTTTCGGAACATTAGGGGTTCCATCACGAATGAGAACAATCTTGACAATTTTTGCGCCCCCCCCCCCTCTTAAAACTTGGACACACCATTTCCCCTCTCAGAAAATAAATAAATGCACGGGGAAAATTTTCAAATTCCTGAACGTAAACGTCCCGAAAAATGAGTTTATTTTTAATAAGCAGGAATGGAAAACAGGAAATACATCAGGCATACCGGCGTTGTTTTGCATGTAACCTCTACCATGCTTAAGGACATCTTCGTGCCTCAAGATCCCGGACAGATCTCTATCCTGGCTGTACCCCGGGATAGGCGCGTGAATCAGATTGATGTCGTTGTCGTTGTTGAGCCTGACGGTGTCGTGAGTGTTGTCATCGTTCACTACATACTCAAAGACAGCGGGCTGTGGCGACTGGGTGGTGGAGATCTTGTCGTACATTCTGTGGATCGGTCTTTCCAGCTCCGCTGATTCCCCGATCCTCCTCGCATCCGGATCGTTTTCGAAAAAATTCTCGTTCGTCTGCCGCTCTGAGCTCATCTCCGTCGGTCCAATTTCGGGACCATAGTCGCCATTTCTGCGGTATGACGGCGCATCTAAGATTTGCCGAGGTAACGTATCGGGGACCAGCCCGCCTTTGATATTGCTGGGCTGGAGCCCATCATATTGTTCAGGAAATGGAAACGGATCTGCTCCTAATCCATCCGGATTTTGGAGTTGCGAATTTAGTCCGGGGTAAGTTCCATCGTCAAGGCTCCGTCGAATTCGTTTGCTCCGGTGGTGTGTGGCGTACAAATTTCCCAATCTTTTTGTTTCACCCTGACCGTAGACCTGGCAGAAAATGAATACTCCGTCACCAAAAGTGAAACAAAGTTTTTTTCTCTCTCATGAATGGGAGTGTCAGAATATTCTATATACAGCTTGAGACTCTCTATATTTTTTATTGCTATGCATACTTGCATAATTTTGATCATACATTCAATTCAATTCAAAAGCAACATTTATTTCCATACTTCCATTAAAATACGAATCGGGAATACACGTAAAATAAATACGAGCCATAAATACAATGTAATATAAAATAAGAGAAAATAGAGAAAACTTGTAAAGATAGAAAGTATTCGGCCAGTTATATGGCAAACTCGCTCATTACAAGAATTTTTTGGACAAAACATGACATCCCTCTCACATGGTGTAAAATCCTCCCCCGGACTTACGAAATGACAGCGACCCGTGGGCTCCTCTGCCCATGGTTCCCAGTAGCACCGTTGTCCCACCAGACAGTCGCCATCTATCAAGCAGGGGACTTTGCTCTTGAAGGAAAGACAATGAAACATAATTGGTACCGGTATCATTCCCAGGGGCATGTTGCGTGAAAGAGATGAATTGGGTTCAGCTCGAATTATTGCAATTTCTTCATAGTTCAAATTACGCTATTGGCATTGACATTGGCATTATCGAAAAAAAAATTCCATCCTTGCACTAAAAATAAATTACGCACAAGTATTTGGCATAAACCAAGTGTCTTACACTTCTCTTGACTAGTAGCGGAGCACAGCTTGAGAGGTGAATCAGAGAGGACAGAATTATAGCAAACGTGACAGTAGCTAGATTCATGACATCTGAAAATGAAAACAGATACGCAGGCTCGCAGGGTTACATTCAGTTTTACTGTTGTGGATAAAAAAGTACTGTAAATGCCTCGTACGTACTAGATTAGGCCTACAGATCTTGAACTAAGCTCTGTACCAAATCACGTTCAGCTTCAACAATTAGGCCCCCTGCTAGATTACGACAAAGCTTTCACAAAATATAATGATTAGGCATAGGCCTACTTAAGGGCTTTTCAACGTGCCAAGGAGTGCTTAGAGTTTTCCTGAAGCCGCTTTGCTTGTCCTCACTGGTGCTCCGTCATTTTCTGAGATCATTTCATGCGTGGTCCCTGTCGGCAATGTGACTTGTCTCTAACCTAAACAGTTTCTTTGGAAAAAGAGCACCCGACCTAAGTCTTAATTTGAAACGAAAAGGAGAAGGCCAGGGAATTAGTGCCCAATACAGTTTTCCAGTCTATAGGGTCTATCGTCTACGCCATAGCCTAGTACTGATCACATCTAAGTTAAAAATGTTAACAAAGAAATACATTAAAACACAAAACCGGACAAAAATAGCCTAGCCATGCATTGGGATAACATTACACTCACCTGTGTTTCGATATATCCTGTTTATCTACACACCTTTTGCTGAAAGGCTTATTTCAGTCTCATTAGCACTTTACTTTATCGCGAAAGACTTACACTGTAGTCGGCCTTATAAGATTTTTTTTCAAAAGCAAACGTCACGTAGATGTCTGTACGAACGCGCAACGCGAACGCGCATTTGCGCGACGCGTATTAAACGCACGATGCTTTGCTTGTGCGAGCGTTCTCAATGTATTCTGATTTTTTGTGAAGATCATTAATTCTGACCATTGCTCTCCATCAATGATTCTGACAGTATAAAATGTTGCTTAACAGCCTTCTTGGGATAAAAGCATTCTTTACACACTAGGCTTAACTATTTACTCGATATTAAGTAGGCTTGATTATTGCATTTAAAAAATCGTATTAGAAGTGGAGAATTGATGACTGCTAGAATTAATCCGCAACAGTTCCCTATCTTCCAATCAGTATGATTTTGCATACGGTACATATTAAGGGGTAGGGTTCCAAACCCCATAGGGTGTATGTAAAATCATATTGACATTTTTAATACGCGTGATGAGTGAACCATGTCTCCAAAAAACCCCAGAAAGACTACTTATGACTCACTATAAAACCTGGTGGGACTAGGCCCTAAAAGAGACACAAAGTCTTGATGTTTGAAAAACTCTTTCTTTTTCTTGACTGAGTTGTTACCAAAGCTTCAACTGTTTTTAATTACCTTGCATTTTAGCAGAGTTTGAGAATAAGTACAAGCAATTTCCCCTTCCGCACTCAATTATTTCTACAATCACCTTATACAAATTTGTTTGATATATTATGCCTTCCGACATTATATATAAATTGTTGCTAAATACACTGAAAATAAATAGAATATATACAATAGCAAAGGCGAAAACAACTATGTACATTACGGCTGGCAATACATTTTAAAGGGACGTCATTTTTATGAAATGTGAGCTGTTTGTCCACAAATTTACTTCAACCCCGGCGTATCTTTTACTGAGATATTAGGAGAAATAAAGTAAATAGCTTTTAAAACCAAAGGCCACTGGCGTAACTACTGAGACGGTGGCATGCTTCCCTCCACCAGACAAAATCCATTTGAAATTTTGAAATGAACAAAAAGCTGCAGGAGAGATACTTTCAGCGATTCCAGAGAAAACAAAAATTATGTTGACCCTAGGTCCACCCCGCATTGTTCACTCCAGTTAGACGATTGTGCCTAAGCACGGACGTCATATAGAAACAATCTAGACTCGCAATGACTTTGTACACGAGGAAGCCACCGGCGGCCATTTTACTGTGCCAAATATAAAGGCGATGCCATTGTAATTAAAGATGCGACAACGCATTTTATTAACCATGGAGAACAAGCTTATTATGTATTACCTTTGTATTTGGCATGGTAACATGGCCGCCGGTGGCTTCAGTGTTAATTGGGGATTACTGCTGGATACTGGACTCTGTCTTCCCACGCCTTTAAGGCACTTTAGCAGATCGCGTGCCTTCATAATAAGCCGAACACACATTGAGAAGTATTATAGGACTGTTCAGTGTGGTGTTTTATCTGTTCGCCATCATGGTTTTGTGTTTTTGATTAAGATTTACTTATTCAGGCCATTTTGGTTTTTAGGATTTATTATGGGCCAAAACCTTTTAAGGCACATATCACTCCCTATAAATATGAGGATTTGGTCCCAGTTTGCCAGTAGACAAAGTGTCAGAATCACCATAAACATACATGTATATAGACATGGAAATCGGCAACTGACGTCTCTGGAAAAAAAAGGACAGTAATATCTGGCCAACATCACTTAAAATCTGGGTTTAACTTAGCAAGTCACATGGAAACACTTCGTTGTCTGGTCAGCATCGCAAAGCGTCCCTTCTTTTTCGATCGGTCGCGGAAGCCTTTGAACACGCTCGACTTGGTCGTGAGAGATCGGAACTCGCCAGACAGCGCTGAGAAGAGTCGGACCACGTCCTCGTAGCTCTCCCGCACTGAGACCTCGAAGAACGGCATGCCGAGGAGCTGGGCCAGCTCAAGGCCCTCGTTGTAGGTGACGACACGGGAATGCACCAAATCAATTTTGTTGCCCACCAAGATGGCTGGCAGTGTCTTCGACCTCCGTGCCTGGTCAATAGCAGCCTTGATGTGGGGTACGACGCGGAGACTTTTGGCATCGGTGACTTCATACACGATGATGAAGGCATCAGCCCATTTCACAGTGCGCTCAAATGAGGTCGTGACCTCAAAACACTCCTGAATGGGAAATGGATTAAAAACGCAGTATTATTCCGACCATAGAGTTGAATTACAAAATAAAACAACAAATCTTCAAATCATATAAGCCTGTAATCTACAAAACTATACCTGTGCAATATAGCAATGACCACGACTGCCATGAATGAACTTAGATATTGATAGACATGACGTCAGACATACCTGAATATCTAGTCTAGTATCTAATATTTCCAGGTTAACCAACGTCCCGTCTATGTCAACATCCTGCTGATACGTGTTCTCTGCAGCATTAACCAAAAACCACGGGCTTGCGTAACTAGTTAAGTAATCAGTTTACATGAAAATTTACATGCATGTATCCGGGACATCCCCTTGTATACCACCACCCCTGCGTTTTTTCGCGTACACGTAACGAACGAAATTATAGTTGGCAGTATCTCTGAGCGGAGGGGACAGCCCATGTAAGTTTCATAATTTCTTCACTTGGAAGGGGAATCCCCGTCTGTGTAATGATAAAAATTTGACAGTTCTGAACATGTCTCCAAATGAGTGAGCAAATTCCCAGCTTCTGATTAAATAAAAACCACACACATATCTTTGTAATTTTACAGTCAGTTTTGGGAAATAAATCCTTAGCTCTTTTCCTGGTATGAGAGGATGTCCCGTTCCATGCATGTTGACTTACAAAATATTGGCAATTGGCGAAATTACACAATCATTCCGTATAGTTCATACCTTTATTTCTTTCGTAGTCTCCAATAAATCGTCTCGTCAGAAACCGCACAGTAAGAGCTGAAGCAGAAATATATATAAAACCAGCTGCTTTGATGGTAATCGCATTCAAAGCTAAATTTCTGCATCTTGTATAAAATTAATTACTGCGTTTTTCACTTGTCTTCTTTAAGAACTATACGTTATCGATACACACAGAATTTTCAACGGTTACCGTTGCTTGAAATCTAGGCTACGGAACACCTGATTCATTGGATTTACTGTCGATATGCATGGCTACACAGAAGTAAAACCACTGTCATCAATATATTACCATTCCACAAACAATGAAAAAAGACGTTTTAAATGATGGGAGTGCTCGAGACTGCGCGCATATTGAGTGAAAGTATCGGAAATCATACAAAATATGTGGGTAAATTGCTCAGTTCAGTGCGAATTGTACAAAATGTACCCTCACATTTTTAACATAAAGATCAGGAACCCTGAGTGGATCCAAGTGACACGTGACTTCAGTGAAAACAACTGAAACAGAGTGACTCTAAGGTTGACATTTGACTCAGTCTCGGTGGAATTTGAAGATGTGAAAGGTAGATTGTGTTATACTAAAAATGTGTCCGGATGGAATTATCTATATCGATTTCTTTGCTGTCTTCCTGCACCGAGGAAATATTTTCCCATTTTGGGGATATGCTTAAGTAATCAGAGAGCGACACACCTTTTTTTTCAGAAATCGTCCCCCGCAGTGTCCTGTCCTGCATATGACGAGTTTGGCAGATCAAGTTCAGACCAATTTGGCAGCGGCCGTTAATTCATAACTCCAGTGTTCGTATTTACCAGTTTTCCCACAGCCAGATCGCCCGAAGACCGCCACTTTTAACCTGTCCAGCTTCTTCTTACTTCCGCTTGACATATTAACGAAACCACGCAGAGACTTCTTCACAACATTCAACGGAAACATGGATGCCGAGTTGAACTTTACAACGGGGAGGGTATGTTTTATTGCGATCATAAAAAAAGCGGATAGGCCTATCTAGAGAGCACGACTGTGTCAGACAATTGGCAGCTCGAGCAAAGACCAACTGCCCATGCGGGACCCAATTGTTTGGTTCTTTAAGGGAGTCTGGTGGTAAATAAACACCCAGGTGTTTGCTCAGAACTTAAAAGCGGTCCAGTTACCAACCCTGGTGGACCTACTTTTTTTCTAATCGCACGGACTTGCGATAATGGTATTGACTGTGAAATCATCGGGCAAAGACCTCGATAATCGTTGGCAAATAGGGACCAGCTGCATTCTAAAGTAGTTAATACACGGTAATGTGGGGATTTATGTACTCATGCGGAATCCGCATTAAAACTCAACCCTAAATTAGCTCCGGTTACTCCTTCAGTAAATTGGGAATGTTTGCGTGATTTTTAAGACCCCTCCTCGCATTGTTCAGAGACAATAATGCAGTTACGCTTGCTTCTGCACCCAAAACAGTGCAGATAGGTGTTCTCGGCCAATTTCAAATATGATTTTTCCTTCTCTTTCTTCCCCTTGAGGAAGAACAATTCAGATCCCTCTACGTGCGGACCTAGGTCTCCGCGAAAGTTAAATTTAATCGATTCCACGATATGTTCGATTCTGTAATGAAATGCATCATGTTTCGCCACTGAGTATCTATTCCTTCAGATTCTTGACTTGCACGAAACAGGAATAGGCCTGGGTCATCCATCGTTCCGCTCTGCTACCGTCAAACGTCCTTTTTACGCTACAATGTGGAGATACAGCACACCTAACAATGACGCAGTCCGACCGTGAAACAGAGTTAGAGTAGAAATACCGGAACACTATAAGAATGCATTTTTAAAATTGAACGTATTGTTGAATCTAACATTATTTCAAATAGAGATTTCCGATGCAATTCCCAACACCGATTGAAATCTTGCGGACCTAACACGTTTTCGGGATTCGAATGAAATTGTACGGATCTAACATGTTTTACAGATTTGAATTATGAAATGTTGCAAACCTAATGTGTTTTAAAGATTATGCAATGCACATTTCCTGACATAAAACAGCCCCAGGTTTGAATTCGGCACCTTCATTTCATACGAAAATATCATCTCATCCGAATTCAGAAAGCATTTGATCTTTTTGATGGCAACTTGAAGTGCCAAAACTTTTCATGACTTGGTTGTGCACGGCAAGGGCAGGCGCAGTCAAAACTCTAGACTGGTTCCCGCAGCCTTAAGCTATTGATAAATACATGTACTCTAAATTCCGCACAGTCTGGTTCCCGGACCTAACCATTTCTGACGACTCTTACTTTTTATATTTTGGCCGTTTTTCTCGACGTAGACCCCGAAATCAACCTCCAAGTGTAGGCCTGAAGCGTTCAAATCAGATTGAAGTAGCCTACTGTGGTGTTTTGTTCTTCCGAAACTTAACTGGTGTTTCTGTTACACGAAAGGACTAACTACCGAGCGAACAATTTCAATGTCACGTGGGCAACACAGATGAATCATGAAAGCACTCTGTACTGAAGTGACCAATTACTTCACAAATGATTGGTAGGTCTTAGACAGTGTAGACTGATGTGTATGTTTCATCTTGAGTGTCTTGACAGTTCTCGTTTTCCCTTTCTCTTTAATTTACACATATATAAGTGGTCGAAAAACAACATTCCGGCATGTAGGCCAACAATTTGTGCACTCTAAACATTGCCCTCGCACACTGCTTCATTTCGATACTTTATGTCTAATTAATGCTTGGGAGTAACACCGAGGCTCTTGAACGCTATTTCTAAAAGATTTTTTAAAATGTCTTCAAATAGCATAGGCCCCTGAGTGCCTGGACAATTATATGTCTCATGACCGTAAAGATCGTTAAAATACATGTATCTACCATTTGGGTCCCCACTCACACGCAAGGAAAGATCCAGAACAATATTTTAGGGGGAAAGGACTTTTAAAAGGGGACTAAAGATCTGGGAAAAAATTCCATAATCCTTCATGGCCTTTCTGAGGGGTGAGGCCATTCTTCGTGCACGCTTTTCACACGCTTTTTTAGGAAATGAAACAAATACGTCTTTGACTAATTTGTTTTAATGGTTTTTGGTGGGCACATATGGCCCCTCCCCCCATCAGCCTGTGCTCACTCAAGAAAGCTTAATAGCCTGAAACACGGCAGATGATGGTAGACCTAAAATCTTGCCAGTAACCTAAATCAAACTATTACAGTAACCTATCAAACTACTTCATTCAGCAATACTGGTAATCAATATCGTTCGATAGTAATAGTAGTAAATAAGTGATTGACCTTGTGTATACACGTCTCATACAGGTATGAATTTTCGACTGGATAATAAAAAAAAAACATGAAATCGCTCTTTTATATCACAATAAGGAAATGCCAACGCTTCAACAAAGTTAAACAAAGCTAACTAGCCCACTGTGCTAAATGCTTACATTATTACTGAATAAAAGTCCCAATTTCCTCTATTTAAATAGCCTATTAATTTGAAATGATTGTCAAGTCCGTTTCTTTGCAACAAAAGAATTAGATAAATATTTATACCGTTGACCAAACATTTGTCAAATTGGCCCAGTAAATCATTTCTGTACAGATTGTAAATTGTAAAAAGCTTTTAAACAAGAATTATCTTGCAAAGCTGAGGCCCAGAAATGTGTCGGTGGAATGAACATGAGCAGGACAAACAAATTCCTATATTGACTCCAGCCAATGTCAGTAAATCACCAAACACAATAGCATGGTAAAGGTTTATGTACTCACGGAAGATTCCTGTAGCACAAGACAAATATTCAAGCAGGTAGACAGCCCAAACAAACACTTCAATTTTCTTTTTTCCCTCTTATTATTTGAAGCTTTTTAGTCTCCGTTAAGCTTTGCGACCCAGCCTATGTTATTGTTTACACTCATCACAGCCAAGTCAAAAGCTTGCTGTAATCGGCCAAAGTCACGCCCTTTTCCAAAGTCGAGCAACTGTGGAAGAAAAAGACGAAGTTGTTAAAATTCATCAGAAGAAAAGGACAGACAGGAATAAGGGTGGAAGTACAGATAAAAATATTTTTAAAAATTACGGTCTTGTGTATGTGTTTGTCGGAGAATCATCATCGGAGAATTTTATATCAGTTAATGAGTCTGTTTCAGCCAGCCTTTTGGAATCAAGAAAGAGCTGGACAGAATTACCTCTTGAAGTTCATCGGCAGTGTTGAAAAATGCTGTGACCGAAAGGAGAAGATCGGAGGCAGAATGGGCATCGGTGGATTTGCTGTGAATACAAACAAGGTCATAATTATTGACGTGTGAAAGTTCCATTGTAAAAGTGTCAGGATGAATCAAAATGATCAAACCGATCGCTCGATTCGATAGGTAATCCAGCTGGTATTAGGGACCCTCATCCAACGGCAGTGAAACACTTTTCAAAGGATTGGGGCCAGCAATTGTAAGACCATCAGGTATCAACCATTAATAGGCCTATCCACCAAGCCCCATCCCATTGTAGGGCCTGTAAAAAGTTGAGGGACCATGCCCCCAATAGAAAAAGCTGGGGAGGGGGGCAACTGGCCCTGGCCCCCGCCGCCAGTGCCGTCAACACGCGACGTTTTTACCCAACCGGGTTTGTGTTTCCCTTCATCTCAAAGCTGAAATCGTGGATCTCGGTTAATATGTTTATGATTTCCTGGAAAAGTTTCCAGCACTTATCATAAGCCTACCTCAATAGCGACCCCCAGTTCTTTTTGATGTAGTCCCAGGCCATGTCTCCACCAATGGGGTTATCAGCCAACGCTGTGATGACCTTAAATACATTCACGTCATCCGACGAACCGTCCAGGCTGCTAATGTAGCTAAAACGAATCGAACACTGGCCTGCGTTATTCCTATGGTACTTTTATGTTTCTACCAAACTCGCTAACCCCAAAGAACGAGGCTTTTTCGGAGCAGCTCACAGCGAGGCATTCCCCCGACCCCCAACCGACTGTTCTTTTGAACCTTAGCGTACGTGTAAAATACTCGTTATATGTGCATCTATGATGTTCGATGCAACGATATGAAGTTTTGGTCTTTTTTTTCTTTTTTTTGTAATTCATGCGTAGTGCCAGTCCGCGTGCATTGAGAACGTCAATGGGCAACTGCAAGAGGAATTTTCGGCTGATCTGCCTGGGACAATTGGGCATTCGACAGTTTCATCACGGACGACAGCAATTTGATAAAAAAGGGGATTCGTATCGAAAACTTGTGGGAAAAGTGATTTCGCGAGACAAGCCTTGATTCTACAGCTTCTATATATATGTATATATAATGTGATATCACAAACATCTGATGGTTCCTACTGTGTGAGAGCAGTTGCGTTGGCAGAGCAAGTGAGCGCAGTGCCCCATCGAGTCCTCTCTCGTTCCATGGTGGCTCCACGCATCTGCCTCATTCCAAACTCCCACTCAACTTGACCGCCATACCGTATACCGTTGCAGAACACTAAATGTCGGAACACGGGCTTTACACTGTTGAATAAAACAATACGCGCAATGGTTACAAGCATTTGCAAGCCCCAAAGGACAGGCTCGTTGTGATGAAAATTACAGCCATTTCCATTGTGACTTTTTTTTCGGCACGGCGCTAAGATGGCTTTAACCTTAAAAAGGATCAATTAAATTCATTTTACAATTTAATCGCTAGTTTTTGGTACATGTGTAGGCCTTGTGGTCATATAATGCCTCCACATGAACGTTCAATACTAACCTGTTTTTAAACGGGTTCTCCATTATCTCTTTGAAGAGTGCAGTAGCTTTGCTAACGCAATCATCGTTGCCATAGAAACAAGCCAATGACGTAATATCTAAGCGATGCTTTCGTGCAAGCCAGCTAATTAAGTGAAAATGGAGATCATGTTCAGTCGAACTTAATGTTAAAACAGCGGTTTGCAAGTGACTCGCTAACAAATGGTAATGTTAATTTACTGATCGTTGACAGAAAACAGTCAAAACAGAAAACTGAAAACAGTTAAATCATAAATGTTAATTTACAGAGGAGATCCTTAACAAAGGAAGGACGTGATTATCAAACAAAACAATTATTATTACCGAGTGCATAATTCGATTTATCGGTGTTGCTTTACATTTGAAAAGGGACAGGTTACCTTGATGAGAGTGGGTCGATAGTTGTAGCCGCATGCCATCCTTCTTCACTGTACAGAAAATTAATGTCATCCAAAATGCGTCGCTGGAGAGAAAAAGGTAACAGACATGGTTATTCCAACTTGTTAACATTTTTACTACATTTTTGTGTCAAGATGTTCGTCTGAACCTTAAAAAAATGTGGGGTGACTTTTTTGTATGGGTACTTTATCAGATACGCGTTAACAACCAAAGTTTTTGTGAGATGACACTGTCGATAAGTATGCATATATGAGACAAGGAAAAAAATGTTTATGCGTTTCTTTAGTAGACGCCTAATATGAACAGTCCACTAGCTGTCATATTACAACGCAGGCTTGTATCGAAGTTACTTTTAACGGTAAATTGTTGCGCAAAGGAAAGAAGTGTTCTCCCTTAACCTCAATGACCTCACACGCTTTACCTCGATAGCCTTTTGTGACTTCTGCCCTCTCAGTAGGCTTAGACGGAGCAAGTCTCCTTCCAAGGCCGCCTCCCTAGTTCCGAGAGAGGTATTTCGTAAAGCGTCAATCAGAGAATAAGCTATATCAGTCGGAACAATGCCAGCAATTTCCAGTTTTCTAACCTGCCGTATCAAGCCCAGCTGGTTCTGAAATGTGAAAACCTAAAAAAAAAAATATTTTTTAATAAGTTTACTTTAAACAGATACATCCACTTTCACCTCAAAACAGTTTCCCAATATCCGTTTTCGTCATACTTGGTACAACACGTAAACTGTATTTTGCTGGATGCAATCTTAACAATTTTGCATTTTACCACGACTGGTGTTAATAACAGCCGACCGCATACCAAAAAGGGCACCGATTTAACGAAAAAAACCCATTTCCTCAATAATATGTACGTTGCCTATCCAAAATCTTTAAATTCACAAATATTGTTCCAATATCAGGAAGAGGGACTACGCAGTCACGGGATGCACGAAGTTGCTCGACACCACGAGGACAAGATCACAATCTAAACCAGCGTTAGTATTAAAACGATCGACGCACTCGACACGACACGCTGCAGGAATCCCAAGTGTTTCCCTTACATTCGGATCCCTCTCTGCCTGTTCTACAATCCGTAGCCAATTCTCCTCATCATAATCGACGAAATAGTATCCGGTCTGCAAGAAGTTGGCCAGGTACCAGTCATCAGCAGATGCTCCTTCAAGATGCACGATTGCTTTGAAAACAAAACAGAAATTTTTAGCTACTCCCACTTGCAAGCAGATGCGGGTGTAGACTGGATCCATTACTTCGCGATGAATGATGTTTATTGCATATCCCTAAAAACGAAACTCCGGAAATGCAGTCCTGATATTCTATACTTAGAATGTTTACGGTTTTTCCTTACATAGGCTGCCTAAACAAGTTTAATTGGAGGATATTAATAACAAAAGCTTACAAAGGGTGGATCTAGAACGAAACCTGGGGGTCAACAATGTTTTCGTGGCCAAAACCTTTTGAAATTTATTGCTTTTTTCATGCTTTTGAAAAGAAAAGGGAACAGATAAAATGTATCACTTTTCTCTTAATATATAAAAAAATCCAGTAGGAGGCCTCCTTTCTCCAAGATTTGGAAAGAAGTCCAATTTACGGCCGTGTATTAACAGTGGAAACGAATAAAACGTAGAATAGCCCGACCATATTGTCCGTAAGTCAATCCTTTCTGTATCTCTCCAAACACAAACCCAACCCAGGAATTCACACAAAATTAATTAGTGTGCGAGCCAAACTACTAGCAAAATATTGAACGCTCTTACTTTCTTCATTGTCGGGCTCCATAAGGACTGTCGTTGGACTGCTTGAATTCGATTTGTGGACCCAGGTAAGTGGTATGTAATAACGCTCGCTGTTGAAGAATACACACACAAAAATCCACCAAAACCTTTTAACATGAACACAGAACCAGTCGAGAAAAGAACGAAAACAACAGATCTGAAAATCAGTGCTGTCGTCCTCTAACCTTGGAGGTACTGGCTTCGAGACCATTGCCAAACGCACTTGTTGCAGTCGGGTCACTTCGGCGCTGTCTGCTTGAATTATTTCAACATTTTAAATGTCATGATTGAGCACTCATAAAATAACTTACTAAACGTATAAAAAGGTATAAAACATTAATTTGTCCAACAAAGGCAACAAACAACGACGGCCATAAGGATAAACAAAAGAGACAGCAACAGACAACAGATGACAACGGACACCGACAGCGACCACAAGAAAAAACCAAAACCAACACTGGCGTCAACAGATGACTACGCTAAAGCACAGTAGTCTTGTGAATGAAATGAAAGTTAACCTCGTATCCCGTTATTAATCTGACGTGTTTCGGACGCTGAAACTAGACTGGAAGAGGAAAATTTCTATCCACCTGAAAGGACCCGGATGAGGTGGAAACCCAGTATACAATCTTCTCTGTGTTGCCAAGACTGTGTCACCGGTTCTGTTGAGCGTTACAAGAGGGGCCCCGGGCTGTAGAGTCCATGAATCCATGATCCTTTTCATGTTGTGTTTCCCGACGTCTTGATCAGCCTTATTAATGAATTCACAATTAAAGCGAAGTCACAAAAACCAAACCCAAGCAAATTACAGTTTGGATACTAGATACAATTCACTTCATAGGGAATAACACATCGGCCATTTCAGGGTGTTAACACAGACTAAAAAATACAGGACACACTTCAAAGAAAATCTTGTTGAAGTTCATTTCTACTGCAAAGGGGCACAGGGTTGACGAGGTGTGGGGTAACATACTTGAAAGCACGTTGTGTTGCGTTTGCATACACTTTCACTTGAGGGGGCTTGGGAACAAGGGTTCAAAGTACGGTATGCTTTTTGTCACTGTAAAATAATATCATCAGAACGGCCAAACTGAAACATTCTGTTCACTGCGTATGCAGCTTCATACAAATGTTTAACAGCTCTAGGCCAAAAGTCGCAAAAGGGGCTTTCAGGACTTAAACACCAAGATTGACAAAGAGCTCGCCAATCACTTGTTGGGTCTACCAGCCCGCCCTTCCACCTTGAATTGGGTGAGCCTGTGAGACATCAAGACAGTTTTTTAATAAAAAAAATATACGTTAAAAAAGAAACTTCGCAACAAAACTGTACATAAGAGAGTTCCTCCCACAGATGGTCGATATTGGCGTTCTTATAGGCGCGTTCTTTCAAGTAGTTTCGAATTCCTTTCTCAAAAACTCCATCTGCCAGGAAGTGCTTCATCATAAACACAATGGAGCCACCCTAGAAAGGACATAAAAGGGACAAGTACTAGCCAGTAACTATACAGGCAAACTGAATCATTCCGAACAGGACAGCGCCATTTTGTCAAGACAAGCGAGGATTGAAATGAAGAACGCCTTGATATTTCAAAAATATAATATATAGATGTCCTAAAGAAAATACATAAAAAATGAATATTGCAACTTAAAATGAAACACAATAAAGTGGATTTATAGGAAATACCAAAACAATATATAAAAACAAACAAGGCATAAGCAACAAAACCCCAAAAGTCACATAAAAAGACCTTTTACAAACGAGAGCCTTGAGTTGAAATCATTCTGAAATGTAACCTGAAGCAAGTTTCTGACTTACCTTAACGTAAGTAAAGAGAACAATCTGGTTATCAATGTCGTCAATGTCACTCGAGACTGGGTCTTTCAAGGGACGTATGATCATATAATTAGTATCAAAAGTGAAAGCTCTTTCCATTGTATCCAGATAGAATTTCTGATACTGCAACAAAATTTGAAAAATTTTATATTAAAACTGCATATCAAAACTGCACAAAATATCTTCTATACCAACCTCATAGTTACACTTAGGTCTTCACTCACAGCAGTTAACGAAATATTTGAAACCTTTGGTAATTCCTTTTCTGAGAAAAGCCTGCCATTTACGCTGATGAAAATTGTAACAATACTATTCCAGACGACTAAGACAACACACCTCCTCTTGCCCCGAGTTGAGGAAGTCAATGCCGATGTGTTGGTAGTAGGTGGCGAAACCTTCGTTTAACCACAGATCATCCCACCATTCGGGGGTGACAAGGTTACCAAACCACTACAGAGGATAACAAAGTAAAAATGTCCTTCAAAATGGCTTTAAAAAAGGCGAGTGATGGCAATATAACTTGGTTACAATATGGATGGACTGGCATCGTGATTCTGACTGTCGTTTTGATTTCACCTGGATCAGACGCTAAATTTCGCAAGGGTAATTAAATGTCGTATTATGGCTAAAGTTGCAGTTTTCAAATTACGTAGTGATGGACCCACATAGCCACCTAAGGGGTTTATCCTAAACGTCAGAAATAATGTTGGCAATCATTTGTTTCCTACCTGATGGGAAATCTCGTGAGTAATAGTCAGGTCATCAGCGTGATCTATAAGCAGCTTCTCCTCATAAGTAATCAAACCCCAGTTCTCCATTGCTCCGCCCATGATTGTTATTCCGATGTGGTCTGTTCCGAAATTTAAATTAAACGAAACAAAAATGACAAATAGATTCCTGGAAACTCAGAGTGACTTTGTACGACAAATTCACGACTTTAAACAGCAAAAGATTTGTGAATGAGAAATATTTACAAATCTTTTGCAGTGTAAAGCAGGGGGACTTGCATTAGTCCCGTGTATTATGTGGGGTTGATGTAAGATGTAAGCTAGGGATGTTTCCCTTGACATACCTACGAGAAACTCTGATCACTAACACACACGCAAATTTAGGTCTAGGTGCACTTTCAGATGGTGTTTCTCGATATTTTCGCCAACCAAATGAAGTAAAGAAACGTACCTAACTTGTCAAGTGGATATTTCATACCCAGGAAGGAGTTAAAGTATGTCTGAAGCCTCATTGCAAAGTCTAGCGCTGTGGAAATTTTTGAAATGTAGTCAGGTCGTATCCACACACGGACCTGCAATGTGATACAAAATATGTGCAAAGGTGTGCTTTAGGATACATGTTTGATTCGCTTAATAAATGGAAATACGTAGTTGCTACAAGACTGGGCTGGTGGACTGTATGGCGGGACTAGACGGGCCTGGCCGGACCGGACTGGACCGGCATGGCCTGGCCAAATCGATTCTCGAGCCATGTTAGATCGTCTGTGATCATAGAGAGTGACTGTTGTGCCCGGGGACTGATTCAACACCTTCCATTCACGTCAACAATTACCAAAAAAATTAAACTTACAAAGCATTTCCTTTTATAATGCTTCAAAGCAGAATGTCATAGTTTGTCTGATCAATTATTAAGCGTATATACACAGGATTATTAAATGTACATATCCATTCTCAAAGCATTCTGAATTGCTGGACTTAGAATGTCTTAAACTGGCTGCACATAGTCAGGGTAAAGATGCGAGTTGGTTTTTTTGGGGGGAGGGGTCTCTTCTATCCCCTCCCTTTTTAAAGCAAAACTTTAGTCTTTCTCACCAGACAGCCATCATCTGTTGTCCCGTTGATATTTTGGAAGTCATGTACAACCATGGCCAGGAGGTAAGTCGGCATGGCTGAGACACGCTTGAAATACGTCCTGTGCCAGTGGTCATCCAGCTTAATAGTCTTCGTCTCCAGTCCATTTGACAGGGCGGTCATATCGTAGCGATGTTCGATTTGTATATCAAACGACGCCTTGAAAGACGGTTCGTCAAAGCAAGGCAGGACACGGCGGGCGTGTGGTCCTTCCATTTGCGTAGTAGCTGTAAGTCTGAATTAAAAGTTAAACAGATATAACTTTTCGAAAGTTATACATCACAGGATCGGATGGAAAAAAAGTAATGTATTCTACTCCACCAATGTAGTTGCTAGGCGCCAATTTGGCAACTGGTAACACTGTTGTCCGCTAGATTGAGAAAAATAGCCTTTTTCTTTCATTTTTTTTTCTTAGTCATGCGGCAGACATGGTCAGCGGAATGAGAAAAGAATTTTTTCTTTGGTTGGGAGTCAAAGTGAGAAATAACAACAGTTGCATACAATTAATTGACATTTAATTTAAAAAGAGAAAAGAAATAAGGCAAAAGAGAGACAATAGGCCCTGATCTTTGGAATATAATACCAAACAATTAAAAATAGTCGCGTTGAGCTTTGGACACGTTGGTTCGAAATATTTCGACCTGTTTCATAAATGAGAGGAATTCCTTCCCTTCACCCGACTGTAGCGGTTACAGGAGGTAGAACAGCCCCAAGTAGTCAGAATCGTTTGGTCTGGGAAGTAGACTTTGAGTTGAAGTCTTTCCTAAATGCGTATCACAGATTTCACGTCAGTGTAATCGAGCTTACCTTTCCCTGTTGTCTGACGTGATGTATTTGCTTACATAAAATCCGCGGATTTCACTGTCTAACAATCCCGTGTACACTATTTGGATTTCATAATTTTTATGCAACTGCAGGCTCTCCTTTAGCTTCAAAACCAGGAACATATTTCCTCGGTCAAAGGTAAAATGGTCCAAAAGTTGGCGGGAGTCAGCGGTGTCCAAGCCAGTGACACTTGGTGTGCCGTGCACGGTCAGCGTGTGGGAATGCAGGATTATCTCCTCAGTTGGGACAACGCACTCAACCTTGATGTTCACCCATCCATCGAAGGTGTACGAGCGATTGAGCGTGGAATACGGTGCATCGTCCTCATAAAGAAAAGGTCGGACGTTCAACAGGTATCGCTGGGGTGAAACGGTGCCAGGTAGCCGGCCCACCATCAGGGGATCTTCGGTTGGTTTTGGTTCTGTGGTTTGCCTCTCATTTATCACAGTTGTTGTCTGATCCGTCGTCTGTGCATAGGGCGCTGTAGTGTAGAACGACGTGGTAGGTTTTGAGCCATCACCCGGTATCTTGGTACCTTCAAGTTGTGTGCGATCTGGGATGTAGTACACCATAAGGGCAACCGCTGTTGTGATAGTGCAGAATCCAAGAATAACAAACGCAATATGAGCTGGTCTACACACCACCACATTCCGCTTACCATTGGGACTCTTTGAGCTGACATCATCAAGTTCATTTTCTTTTACCTCGAATTCCAGTGTCGCCATTTTCTTTCTTATCACAGACAATTTCTATAAGGTAACATAAACATTCAAAACTAATTACAAATCTTAAAAATTAACTCGAAGATAACACTGTATTTGAATGCAATGTGGGATAGTTTGATTGAGACACCTTGGCCAAGTTGAACATGTTGAACACCAAATGTGTGTAAAATTAAAAGACTTTGGGAAAGTCATCATGTTGAAATTCATTGTGTGCTAACCAAAACGAGTTAGGATATCTGCTGAAATCTGCCCTTAATGAAATATGAAACTTGTTCTGTCATCAAAAGACGATCCTTTCACAAAACCTATCCTTAATGGGAGTGTTTTTTTAACTCACCGCATGCACCAATGTCGAGTGTCAATGTGATATGTTAAATGTGTAATTTGTGATTAGAAAATAGAAATAGGGGCCTAAATTTTGCAGTGCAGAGACATGGGTAACTTGCATTGTGATATGTTTCTCTTGTCTCAGGAATAGAAATTTCACGAACCATCACCAAAACCCACAGAAAAGGAAACCTTACCTAAGTTCTGATGTTCCCCTTCGTGACACGTCCAAGTATTTGTGATGGAACCAGTAGCGGAAGGAACGGACTTTGTAGCCCTTGAGGTGAGTGAGCAAAGAAATCAGTGATTGTTACTACAAAATTAGATCTTTTAAACATGATAAGAATTTATAAATTGTAAAATTATCTTTAGAGGTTGGTGGTACCGTTTCGCGTATTATAAACAAATCAGCGTTTAACCTATTACGCATGGTAGCGTCTGTGCGGAACCCACCCTAGTTTATATTGGCATTGCAAGTTTGTTTTTCATGTAGAGCTTGGTGGCTTTGTTGGTCTGCCTGTGGATTTCTGGGGTTCACTTGAGGCAGACAGCGTTGGATGGAGAATTTTAAGAGGAAAACTGCATGGGCCGTCAGCAGAATGTCGTACTTAAGCTCGAACACAGAGGCACCGACGCAGCGAGGCAAAAAAGCCATATGCCTCAAGTTTATGAAGCCCCATTGGTGTCACTTTCCCTCTGTGGTGTGTGTTTCGCAAGGAGATATTATGTCTTTCAGTAAGTTGCCGAAGCAAGATAATACCTTGCCGGAGCAATATAAAAATTTCGTTTAAAATTATCTCGGTCGTTGTCAAAACACACTGGTGACCGCAAGGGTACTTGCCACGGTCAGGAAATCTCGCATGGTGAGCTGAAGATCTATTTTTTTTCACTGTTTTTTTACTATACACCAAAGTGTCACTGTACCCATAAAACAGGATTAGATACAGTACAAACGGCGAAAAAATAGATCCTTATCTCACCGTGTCCTGACGGCAAGCGCAGTAGTGGTCATCATACCTTTTGACAATTATTTTCTTATTTCGGCAACTTATTTTCTTACTTCGGCAAGTTATTATCTTGCTTCGGCAAGTTATTTTCTTGCTTCGATAACTTGTTGAAAGACATAATGCCTCCTTGCCAAACATACATCACAAAGGGAAAGTGACACTAATTGGGCTTCATACAATTTGGTAATGAGGGACTGTTTCTGAGAATAGGAACGATCGTGACATTGTTTGACGAGCATGTCAACGTATCAAGCACTTAGCTGACAGACGTCCTTGTGGGGATATAGCATTACTGTAAAATATATCACTAAATTACCCAATCCAGACGCGGTTCTTTAAGGGGTATATGGGGAGTCTCCTTGCTCCCCTCCCCCCAAAAAAAACATTCGTCTAGCCCCCCATACATAACTGAAAGAGCAGTAGCAAAAGTTAAAAGGTGACATCAAGTGCAAAGGGTCTAATCCCCCCCCCCCTATACACACACCCAAACTAGAACAACACCTGCCGACTAGGCAACATGCGCGCTTGTTGACTGTGCAGTGGTGCGTTGTGTGCATGTATAGTAAAACCAATTAGCCGAAGGTTCCTTTGGCCCAGATCTCTCCTGCCAACTTTATATGCAGAAAAATGAACACTTTCGGTCAATTGGGAATTGAAAATTAATGCTCGATGAAACATGTAGCCATCATTTCATATTGGTCTTCAGCTAACCGAAATATGGATTGAAAACTTTTCAGAAAGAAAACTTTCACCTAGTTCGCAGGCCTACGTTTCATCATAAACTTTTAAATACGTATTGCATTCGTCTACCTAATCTTTCTGATGCAATCGAACAACAGAGGGCGCAAAAATCTTGCCGCATCCACAGCTACAGACTGTCAGAAGGCCGTATCAGCAAGGTTTTTGCTTCCATAACGTACACGTGTTAAATCCAGCCGCAGCCCTGACTTGCAGACACGATAGTTGCATCGCATTTTGAAATGAATCAACATGGCGACATCCTTGGGGTTGCGAAACGTGGGGCTGTTGCGGCCGATTGTACCTCGCTTGCCTCGAAGCTTGCGGCCCCGTCTGAACAGCACCACCTGGTTATTAGTATCAGAGAAAAGTAACACAACATGTTGCGGTTGTGGATTACCCCCAGTGGTGGTAAGTAATAGTATAGGGCTTAGTTCTTCGGGCCGGGTGCGGGAAACTCGCATGATTCGGCCGTCGGCCATTCAGTCATTGGTCATCCCGCCGTCCTTCCTTGTTCTGTGAGCGTGATAACGGAGTTATCTTCAAGCAAATTTGGCGCAGAGTAAAGATGGTAATGGTGTCTTTGTGCGCTTTACTCAAAAAAAAAAGAAGAGAAGATGACAGAAGGTGTCATAGGCCTACGTGTGCGCAGCAAAACCAGTATAGTAACACCGTCGTCATGGTTTTACCAGACTTCTGCAATTTTATATAGTGTGTATTGGAGTTGTTTATGTTTTACGCCTATTTCAATATTAAACAACGGTGCTTGCACTAAAAATGGAAATTGTTAGAATTGAGTGTGCATTTAAATGCATGTGACGATCAGCACGGGCAAACCCGCCACTTTTGAATTTACAGTCATGCAGATATGTGTGTAAAACGCTCTTTGTGTCAGGTGTGTTGAGTAGTCCTGTGAGTTAGAACTGTGCATTATACAGCATGTACCAGTGTGTACGGGGTTTGACATAGACTGTGCAACACAGTTATCTGGTTCGTAAGTGTGACGGCACTTCAGTTTAAACCACGCCCACTACACGTAGTGTTACACGGAACCATGGAGATAACGTGCAACTTGGGAGCCCTTGATCAGTGGTGCGTCTGTGTGTATGACGAAGTCACTTATGAACCAAATATATGTCATACTGTTTGTTGCCATGGATCAACCAACCAGAACTGGAAATTCAAGTTTGCTTGAAGATAACAGGTCATATTGGTCAAAAACCAACTCGGAAAGAGTTCGATATATGGACAACACTAATTTTCCCTTAGATGTTGTAACAGCCATCAGAAAGTGATAGCACGTCCTGAAAAGTGAAATTTTGCTGGAAAATTCCCAAGCATTTACTTAAAAAACACTTGTCCATATAGGGAACTCTTTCTACCAACCCAATCCAAGTCAACTTGGGGAAAGAATTCAAAATAGGCCCACGGGCGCCACCAATTTTTCCTAGCACTGACCTATAATCCAGTCTAAAAGTAACAATCAAATTCAGCACTGAAAATACCAGTATATAGGAACTGCGTGGAGCGCCCTTACAGAGGACAGGTCTTTGTTCCTGCATGATTTGCTTGAGTAGACACTGTAGTACTTCATTGTCATACAAATCTAAATAACAAAACTTGTCCTCTGTGAGGGCTCTCCATGCAGCCCTTCTGTTGATTTGAGGTAGTCCAAGTAACTTGGGCCGTTTTCCAATACTCAACTTCGGCTCCATCTCAGGCTTCAACTGTTTTTTGCTAGCTGACTTTGAAGCTGTAAGCGCAGTAGTCAGTCTAATAGTGCCACAGAACATCAAATAAGATGCAAGAAAGCCAAAAATTACAGTAATTTAAATGCATGCTTCAGACACACAATCGGGGATTGATTTTGGGAACGAAGCCTGAGACGGAGAGACGAAGTCGAGTATTGGAAAATGGCCTTGGACTCTACGAATTGCCTCGTTTAACATTTGGACATGGTCGGGCGAAAGTAGACTAACCATGTCCAGATGTTAAAAAATAATATTAATGAAAGGAATTCGCCACACGCAACCAAGTTGACGGGGACCGAGGTTGACTTGGACTTCATTGACTCAGCCTCCGACTAAGTTGTTTTCGGACTGAGTTGAATTGAATTCGGCACTAGCAAGTTGGTAGTTGGTCTTACATCATAGAAGAACAACGACAACTATGCAAGGTGCACACAAGGTGCGCACATGATGCAGTCGAGTGAGTTGTGATGTTATGGGAGTTGAGTGTGCTCGCGATAGGCCACTGATCAGGCCATCAATTAGGGATTTTTCTTTTTACCGTTGGCCGGTCAATTGTAATAAGATCTAGCTCAATGCCTTGGTCAAGGCTAGCTCCAGTATCTCAAGTCCTAATGCCCAAGACATCTTGAAATTCACAATTATGGATTGAGCTGACCACGTGTGTTTTTCTGTGTAATCAAGAAACCCTCTTACCCATAAATGTGACCTTACATACTGTTGTGACGTCACACTTTCTACATAGTTATTGTAATTTAACGTGATCTTTTAGATTGGTTGTTTTTTTTCCCCGACAGGCGTCATTAGCTACATGCACCAAAAGATTACTCAGGGATGTCAGGTAATGTATATTATCACATGCACCTTATTGTAACAGTGTTACAATAAGCCTTGGCATGTCAAATTTGAGTAAAGTCTGGCGCACTGAGTTGTCTGATTGCATATAAACAAAACAATTTGAATTCCCCAGACTGGAGACACTGTTTCTCCGTCTCTGGAATGAATTGGTTCCTTCGTGCCCTTCTTATCTATTAAAAACAGTGTATTGATGCTGGCATGGTTTGTTTATTTACATGTTGCTGTTTGTCTGACCACACCCACGAGCCCAGTCTGGTGCTACCCGTTCCCGTTCACACACCCTTACTTATGTATACTTGTGGGGTATTTCCTTTGTTCTCATGTACAAAACTCCTGCACAACACGTAAACAATTTCCAAATTCAACCAAATTCAGTTTCCTGGGTTGAAATTTCGACCGCATGTCCCTTATATAAAACACTTCAATTTGTGATTTGCGATGAATGGCACTTGAAAATTCCTCCTTTATGATTTGAAAATTATAATTTGAAACATCTATTCCTTGAAATTCTTGTGGGGTACCACTTTAGTACCCCACAAGGATCACAACTGGCCTTGTGGGGTACCTTCCATTGCTCCGGTACCCCACAAGGCACCATGTACAAGCGCATACCTTCTTGTCTTTTATGTCTTTTATTTATGTTTCTTGCAGGCATTTCAGTTCACATTTTTCTACCAATTCAAACGTGTTTCCTAAGGAAATCTGTAGTCCCGAGAAGCTGACTCAGGATGATCTTGCTTCTCTGCATGGAAATATACGTAAGGTAAAAACTAGACCATGCCGTTGCAACATGTAGTGCTGTGCCGCTTGGCAAAAACAGATTGGTCTTTCTGTATGGTTTGAGTGGGGTTACAATATCTGCCCATCCCTTGCTAGCCAAGGTGAGAAAGTGGCTCCTTGGATGATTTTTTTTTTTTCAATCTGACACCCATTGATAATATCTGAGGTCATATTTCCACTACATCTGGTATTTAGGAAGGAAAGGGGAAGACCTGTTCACCAGTGTAAAAGATTTATATTAAAATTGGGGGCTTGTAAATAAGCAAAACCAACAAAAACTTGAACAAACAAAAATTGCTCATCCACATTCTTTTAGCCTTTCCTAACCCTAACCCCCAGGCCCTTTTGCTAGGGACCTTCTTCAATCTTTCAAAATCCTCCAATTTCGGGGGTGAAAAAAATGGGATTCTTCTTCAATCCTCCGAAATCTTGAAAGTGTTACTTGGAGGTGTGTCTTCGACCTCAATCCTTCAAAATCCTCCAGCAATTCCTGTCATTATGTTGAGGTGGTGTGAATGGCATTCTTGAGCAGTGGGGTTGATTCAAAAGAAATAGTGGGCTGAATTCATGCATGACTAAGCCTTCATGCATGGCATCCTTCGCAATCAACCATACACTTTTGCCATTCACCCTCAATCCTCCAAAATCCTCCAAAACCGCCCGAAGGATTTTTGAGGATTGAGGAGGGTTAGGGCTAATGACAGGTGGACATATGGCTAGATGAGTGTTTCCTTGAATGTTGCATCCAACAAAAAAACAGCTAGATATGTGTCGAAACCGACTGCTTCCTGTCTCTCTTTCAACCCCTGTCTGTTAAGCCGCCATCTTTGTGAGCAGCACATTTCTCCCGCTTTTATCAATGTCCTCTTTTTGGGGTCAATTTCAGGAGTTGATCTCTAATCGGAGGTCTCTGCAAGACGTAGCCCAGTACTATTTTGATGGTAAGGGTAAAGCCTTCCGTCCAATGATAGTTCTTCTAACGGCCAGTGCCTGCAATGCCCACACACACGGAGCCAACAGGTAACAGTTCCCAAAAAATCCCCCCTGGCTTGTGCCGCTTTGTGCCTCAAAAGGTACACGCATATTCCACTGAATTTAAAGGGGGGCCGTGTTTTCATTAGGTCTTCATTTTTGATAGGCCCATGAGATTTTTTGGGGGGGGGTTTTATACCAAAGGCCAGCTATACACAAATGTAATTGACCGGCCACTGGTTGACAAAATATAACTCTGACTTTCAAAGACGTAGGTCTGTTCAAACCTCACAGGACCACCTTCATTTTTGACGCGACATGTGACCTTGCATGGCGAATGAAATGATTGTTTCATCATATAGCATGTCAAACATTACTGGTACACTTTCTCAGGGAACAGAATGTCTCAGAACAGCATGTCTTGTCTGTAGATGCAATCAGCCCTTTGATTGGAGAGCTCATTCACAGTACACCTGTATGTATTTTCTCCTACATTTTATGTCGGTTGTTACAGTAAACTTTTAGAAACGCAGCGTCAGATCGCCATGATCGCTGAGATGATCCACACGGCCAGCCTGATGCACGACGATGTGATAGACAATGCAGATACAAGAAGGAATAAGATGGCCATCAATGAGATGTGGGGTCAGAAGAAGGTATGGCGTAGAAAGCAGAATCTGTCTCGTAGAGTTTCCTCTGGTTTATGCAGAAGATCTGTGAAATAAACGTTAATTCCAGAGAAAGTTTTCCTCGATGAGCTCTCAAGCATCATCATCTGTTTCAGCTCAAAAGTGGTGTTTACAAAAGGTTAATGCCCTTTGTGTTCAAATTTGAAAAATGGGGATTTCATTTGGTGCCCCACCTGTATTGTCAGAAAAACAGGTGTGTGAGCTTAAGTGGCAAGCAGCACACAAGCAAAGCTGTGTTCTAATTTCGTCCTTCAGCAGCAGCCACGAATGGACAGTGCCTGCTGGATTTTGTTGGTCTGATGAGCAAAGGTTTTTGGTTTGAGGCGAGACATTAACATGACGCTGAGAATTCGGCAGCAGATTTGGGATTTGTCAAACATTGGGGGGTGTAGCCTGGGGCCCATAGAGTTTGGCCCATCTCCGATCAGGATTACTGCCTCTTACTCAGCAACATCTTGATGAAAAGCTGTCTATGGAGATGTAAAATTGGGTTCGATTTTTTTAAAATTCTAACTTTCATTGGGTGGCAAGAATTTCACAAGACGCAGACTGGTGAGGGAGATCCTATAATCCGGCCATGGAAATAATGTAATGAATTATTTTGTCTCACTTTTGCCCCATTAGGCTATCCTTGCAGGTGACTTTGTCCTGTCTGTGTCATCTCAGGTGTTAGCAAGGATTGGTAACGATGAAGTGGTGTTAATTCTGTCCCAAGTTTTAGACGACCTTGTAAGAGGTGAGTCCTCATTTTGTGCCAAAGGTATCAAGAGAATTACAAGATGCCAACAGATTTCTCCCCCTCCGTTTGCCCAGTTGTGTCCATTCTGGAGAAAATTTGCTGAACAAGAGAGTAGGCCTGGAATGGAGGAAGCCATTTGCTTGTCTGGCTTCTTTCCTGACCAAAGACCGGGCCGGGTACCGGCATGAGTTGCCCTGCTTGACTTTTGGTGTCATACCCTGTCATATTAACTGCTGTCTTTTCACTCTCATAAATTGTTTTGGGTCTATGTTTATCAAATGACCTTGCACAGCACATAACAAGATGGACATTGTTTGCAGCACCTGTATGTGCTGTACCTATGCAAACCACTGTGCATATGCACAGTGGTTTGCTGGTGCTTTTTTTTTTCCCTTTTTTATTCCTTGATCTTGTGACCACGCCTCACTCGTTATTGATTGGAGGTCATACCAGTGTTTCCTCAGAGTGATAATGTACAGGAACTCTTTTCAAACTGAAATTGTAGGGATTTGGTCATCTCTGTTTTGAGCAGGAGAGTTTATGCAACTGGGATCGAAGGAAGATGAGAATGAGCGTTTTTCCCACTACCTCAAGAAAACCTTCATGAAGACTGCCAGCCTAATGGCACATAGCTGTCAAGCAGTAAGAACCTGAATGTGATACACACTTTTCATATAGAGGGAATAAGTATGTGCTTGGCCGGTCTTAAAGTGCGTTTGAGACCGGCTCAAGAGAATGGACACGAAGAGGGCATTATTAGTGTTCAGTCTCTGAGCTGGTCTTAAACGTTAGTTTAAGACCGGTCAAGCACATATGTATTCCCATTATTTTGTGAGTGTTAAATTTTAGCCAATTTTGACTCAAAATTAAAGTGGCTAACTTGGCCTTTGAAAATAATTGGGTGGCTACTTCGCCTTAGAAAAAAAATTAAAAAGTCTTTTTTGTGTGTGTGTTTTCTTCTTTTCCAAAATAAAGTAAACAGATTTTTATGTCAAAAGGAAAATAAATCGACCACCTGGGTAACAAATACGTTTTTAGTCAGAGAGTCAAAAGATGTCAATATGTGATGGATTTCCAGTGATTTTGTTTTAGAATTTTACTTTCATTTTCCTGAACACCCCCGTCCATTTTATGGAATATTCCTTTTGCAAATTGTCCAATTGGCACGCGTGTGGTGAGCTGTGTGCACACAGACTCTTGACCAATCAGAATCGATTAAACTGTCTTCTACCCAGGTGCCAGCGCATGATTTACGCAGCAGGCATTATCAAATGTTAATACACAGTCAAGTTGTACATTGTTGAATAGGGAGACTGAAGTGTAGATGAAAAGTACTGATATAATTCAACTCAGTTCAACCTGTCCTGTTTAGTTTATCTGATTTGTTTAAATAACAGTGATTCAAATTGTCTCGAAAGACAGAGTTGACTTGACTGAACTCGACCATGCACTTGAACTCAAATCGACCTTGTGATTACTGACCTAAAGCGCCACACTATTCAGTGACTTATTACAATGCTGAAATGCGCTTATGTTTGAATTTTGGTATTAAAGGAAGAAAGTCGGGGTTGCACAGTTCGATCAGTGTGAGTCCACGAGATAAGGTCTTGAATTATTTGGTCTGCCTTTCAGGTGGCTGTTCTGGGTCAATGTCATGAGGATGTCTCCAAAATAGCCTATGAGTACGGCCGTAACATAGGCATGGCCTTCCAGCTCATTGACGATGTCTTGGACTTTGTGTCCAGTGACGCTGAAATGGGGAAACCGACATCGGCAGACTTGAAGCTTGGGCTTGCGACGGGGCCGGTGTTGTTTGCAGCTGAGAAGGTACAGTAAACCGAGATGAAGAAGAAAGTCAGATTGAATTGTATTTCTCTGTACACATCATTTCTTATCAGCACACTTTTGTGACCTGTTGGTTTCGGTATGCAGCCTTTGTAAACTCATGAGCAAAAAACATGGCTTCAGTCAACATAAAAATACAGGCAAACTTGTTAAATAAGCGCACTGTTAATACAAGATTCTGCTTATAACGAGGAAATTGTTAAGTCCCGATCATTTGTTTTTCACCGTTATGATTCCTGATAATGCAAGGTTCCTGTTATAACAAGTCTGAAGGACCTGAAATTAATGAGGTTAACAAGTACTAACAGCATTTATTTACAGGGTCACATTACTGGAAAATGCAAGACGTTTACAAAGAAGGAAGAAGGAAAAAAGGGACAATTTGCTATGATCTATGGAAAAGATGTGTCTTGAGAGAAGATTTCAATTATGATACTGCAGTCCCAGATGTCATTTTCCAAAGGAAAAGCTTCTACTGAAAAAATTGTTTAGTTCTTTGGTTGCAATGAAAGTACTGGTTGAGAGGGTGATCTCATGTGGACAGCTTTTACAGCTTTTTAACTGTTTCTTTTTTTTCAATGCAGTTTCCAGAATTGGAAGCCATGATCATGCGTCGGTTCAGTGAGCCTGGTGATGTGGAAAGAGCCAAAGAAGCCGTTGCCAAGGTAACAACCACCCTATTTCTCTTACTTTAGGATATGGCAGTTCTAACCTTTTGGAGGAGAAAGCGATGATGTAAATTTTTAAGGGAATAAAGGTGTCCAAGTGAAATTGAACATGGGTACCTGGTAGCCATAGTGACCCCAACATTCAAACAGAAAAAAAATTAAAGTTTAGATTTTTTGTATTTGAAAAAAAATGTTGAGAAAGTTTTAGGGCTTCTGTGCCTCTGTTTGATACTGTACGTTAGCAATGAAGGAAGGGTGATTTATCGGAGGTTGGCACATGCAAGATGTCTGGGGAGAGTTGATCTGTAGGATCTTGTTACACTGGGCAGGCAAGCCACTTTGACAAATGATGCAGACTGATGTGTCTGGCAGGGTTCCGGGGCCAAAGTAGGCTGGGGGGCTAAGGTTAATGGTGAGAGAAGCAAGATAATCAGTGCCCTAGTTTCTCCTGTCGGGAGCAGCTGCCAAAATGTTCCGGTTGCTTTTTTTTTCTTTTTGGTGTGGCCTTAATTCCTGGGCCCTTGATTTATGTTTTGTAGGCAAGTTTTATTTGTAGGGTTTATTGCTAAAACTGAGGAGGGCATGTTGAACTGTAGTCGGGGCCACCAAGACTTTAGGGAAGACTTACACTTTTAAGTACCCGGTAATGGAGAAGCAGAGATGCTCTGTGATTAAACAGTTAATGGATCACCAAGTGGAGGAGCGCACATTTATCTTTACCCCAGAGACCATCACTTTGGCAGCAAATAATATTAAAAGTCAAGATAAGCACATCAAATGCTATTCCCTTTTCCGCAAGGACTCAGTATCATTTACTTGTTTTGGATGATGTTTATCTAAGGCAGAATTTGGTGTGTTTCTGACGATGAACTTATTTATAAGGCTTCCTAAATCATTTGTATTTGTTGGGCACTTTATATGAACTGGGAATGTGGGATATGGAATGGGAACCTGGGATTGGGGGATGAAGGATACATGATAATGTGACTGTCATATCCACCATTAAGATCATTATTTTTTTGGACAAACTGGCCTTTGAATTGGCTCCCATTCATCCTCTTGGTGCCGATCTCTCCGAGATTTCAATCATAAAAATGCCTTGCAAGTAAAACTAAACCAGGTTTTTTTGGGGGGGGCACTCTGTTGGTTTTCTTTCAGACGGACGGAATAGAGCAGACACGTTACATCGCTAACCAGCACAGTCAGGAAGCCAAGAGGCAGATAAGCCGATTGACGCCAAGTCCAGCAAGACAGGCCCTCATAGAGCTTTCGCAACGGGTTGTGACCAGATTAAAATAGCCCCTACTGACTGCTTATGTTTCTCAAAGTTTTAGTGGCATTGTAAGAGTTTAGGGATATTTTCATGAGTTTTTCGTTTGCACTGGAAAAAGCGTACACCCGTTTTTCCAGTGCTTAGATTTGAGGACTAGAGGAGAAGGATTTTTTATTTATTAGTAGCTTGAGAGCTCCTTTTTGTCTTTCCTCCCCCTGTTCACTTCAGCTTTCATTTGTTTCAAAGAAGTAAAACTAGCACAGGCAAGGGGATCAAAGAAAGGAACATCCAAGCCACTTATAATTTATCCTCCTTTACCACTAACCGTCAGCTCAATAGGTGTCAAACCTGTGTTGACATTCGTTCTTTGAATTGAAAACTCAGAAACGATATGTTTATTTTGTTGTCATATTGCAAAACTAATAAAAGAACTATACAATTCTCTTCTCAGGTTGTGCAGATAAGGCTGTTTGCAGGGTTATGAAAACCACTTTTTTATATTCTGTCTTGGACATCGTCATTTCATCCATGTAGAATGGCCACATCCTCAAAAGTTACTGTTTATCTTGTGTGCAGTGTGTTGCAAAAAAACCTCCCCATAATATACTGCTTTGTGCTTGTTTTGGTGACAGAACTCTGCAATCCATTGATCTCAAGTTCCAGAGAGGGAACGTCAAAAAAATTAAAATTTTGCATCCCAGTCCTTCCAACTTCAGACCCAGTTGGGTTTTTTCTTCTGTATCATATAGTCGACCAGTGTTATCTCAAGACACGTCTTTGTGTAGCAATATCCCAACACTAGACCACAGCTACGAATTGCATTTGGTTCCACAGAAGCAGGTGTGTTTTTAATTCTTGTGAAACTTTGCTACAAACTCTAAACAAATGATGGAAATCAGTTCAAGTTTGCTCGGTTCTCTTCTCCAACATATAACTTTTGTGTCTTCAAACAGTGGAACCACAGATGGTCAAAAATTTGAAAAGGGATGACAGCCATCTTTAGAATAAATGTTTTACTAAATAAAAATCTGACCCATTTTTCCCCCAACAAACTCTGGGGGAGTGTAGGAGTGTTTGGTTTTTGTTTCGTTTTGTTTCATTTTTCCAACCTTCCAGTCCACTCGTAGTATCCTTGGCTTTGTCTCATACTGTGCCTTCCCCTGGTGTAAAAAAACCGTGCCCCAAAATTACTGCAGTCTGAGTACTATAGACCTTTTTCACCCACCTGACTAAATATAAGCAATACCACCACGTTTGGACCGCCTTGGCCATGGTTATCGCATTATATTCCTACGGGCAGCTTCAACCACGTGCAAGAGCACGTGCGAATGCTGATTGCTTGACTAGTTTATCTTGAATAGTTAGATTATAATTACCACTAATGGGTCATTAGGGAGGCACTCCCATAAGAACGTGCACAAAATTTTTCCAACTTTACTGTCCCATAATTCAATATTCCCTAATCTGATATGAACCAAACCTTGTATGTTTTCATTTTAGGCCCTAAACTATCATCTCTCAAAATATGGACGGTA